CGTATATCCAGTGGCTACGACTGTCATAAATAAAAACAAAATGTAAAGAAAATTTGTCATTCTTGCTCTTGCAACATCTTGAGTGGCTTCACTCAAGATCTTGAAATTTCTTAATACAAGATCTTGGTCAAGATCTTGAGTGACAGATTCAAGAATCCAAGATCTTGAAACATCTTGGCTTACGCCACCCAAGATCTTGGCCAAGATCTTGAGTGAAAAATTCAAGAATCCAAGATCTTGACTTCTTGGTGTTTTTTCCAAGATCTTGTGACATTTCTTAACCCAAGATCTTGGGTACAAGAAGTTCCACTAGGGATGTAATTCTAATTTCAAGCACTATTTTTTTTTCGTCTTATTTATAGATCATTCGCTAGAGCTTGTCAAACTGATTAAAAATAACTAGATTTTAGCTTTTCAAACATGAGTTTTGACAGAGAAATTTTGCAAAATACTAAAAGGGCTTTAAATTTCGAAAGTTCGACTGGAGAAAATATCAAAAATTTCTTTGTTTTACTCTGAAATTTCTAAACTTACTTTTTCTCATTCAGCGTATGAAACTGACTCTAGAAATGTTGTTTAGAATTCGGTCCTGTAGAATATTGTCAATCTAAATAATTAAGAGTCAATAATACGTTGAAGGGCGCGAATCGACTTTGTAAACCTATCTAGTTTTCTGGTAAGGGAATGATGAAATCTTGATTTACTCCACAAAAGTATAAAGCCCTTTTTTCGAAATTCCTTTCCGTTAAAAAGTTCGTTTTTTCTAAATCAGGGGCGAAAAAGTCAGAATTATTCTGGTAATTCTCCATCAGAATTCAACTTGTATACAATAGAAATCATGTTCGGAATCAGGTTCAAAAACTGAGTCGGCTAATAGTACTTAGGGCAATCCAAAAGTAGTGGCGGAGGTATTGTATTTCCGTATAGAAAAATATTTGTCTTGATCCGAAAACAGATTTCATAAGAATTTTGAAAACACCAGAAGATTTAGCGGAAAAATCTGCATCTTCTCAGATATTTTTCGAAATTTTACAATTAAGTCTTCAAAGAAAATTTGTCTATTCTCTATCTATCTACGTAGATAAATTAACTATTGAACCTCAGATAACAGGCTAAAAATCTCAAAAAAGGAGACGACAAAAGCTTGTCGCAGTCAGGCTCAGCACTCTTCAAGATTTTGAATAGTGCTCAAACGACAAAACCGGACAATGCCTCATGAACAACGAATGAAAGTGTCCGATTTTATCTTTTAGCTATAACCCAGAACGAGTAGCTGAATCGAACTACAAAAATTCACTCGGTCAACTGAACAAACACATGAGTGACGTATCATGTGACACGACAACGTGTTTCTTCATTCTATTTATTTTATCTTTTTAGGCATGTTTTCATAATCAAAATTGTTTTCAGAAGACTTTTCTGAAACAGGGTTACCAAGAGATCTTTGAAAAACTAGGGCGTCTGTAAAAATTTTCCAATATGATTGTATTGCTTTCTTTTCATGGCCGATAGCCCGGGGTGTTCTCTTCAAAATGAGACTGAAATGAGATCTTGATTTCGCGCGGTTCGGGCTTTGTACCGGATTTCTCATAAGTCCCAGGACTGGCGCCCGGTGACTATCAGTGGTCTTGAAGAAGGATAATATGAGTAATCGACCATGCGGAGCCTCGTGGCAATATTTGCTTTTAGAAAAAAATTTAAAAATCTACGGAAAAGCCAGTTTTATGAAAATTAGGGTTTTCAGGCTGTTTTCGTCTAATATTAAAAAATTCACTATTCTCTCAAAAAACAGCAGAACACGCTCAAAATCTCAGTATATGATTAATATTGTCCGCTAACCATGGCTACAAGATCGAAAGAATCGAAAAACATATTTTTGTTAATAGGTTTTCCAGAAATCCTTATGAAAACTTAAAGGTTTTGTAAAATTTCGTTCACGATCTCCTATAAATAGGATATAGCATAGTTTAAATACTCTACATTCTGAAGTTCTGAACTAGTTCGTATGTTCTTTGAGTAATGATTAGTGAATTTTTTAATATTAGGTGAAAATAGCCTGAAAACGCTAATTTTGGTAAAACTCGTTTTCCGGTAGTTTTTAGAACTTTTTCTAAAAGCAGATATTGCCACGAGCACACATAGAGGAATATTTGGCGAAAGGTTGAGCTCGATTGGACTTTAGCTGTTTGTAGCGTTTGCAACATACAGAATGATGCATTTTTGATACTCAATTTTAGCCTAGTAGTTTTTGCTGTGGCAATTTGAGTTGAATCGAAATGATCTTTTCATTAAAATGAAGCTCATAGATGAGTAATTCCGTTCAGATAGTTTTTCAAATTAAACTATTCCAATCAGTTGGTCAAAAAATTAACTGTATCTGAGGGTAGCGATTTTTGAACAAATTTCTTATTATGTGTTTTTCCATCGTTCAACTTGATTTCTGAAAATGCTACTTTAGGACAAGATAGATCAAAGACAGAAGTAATTATTCCAATGTTTAAAATTTGAAAAATAACACTTTCGTTATCGTTTTTTAGTGATAAACGGAGACGATGGAACCTAGATCTAAATGACTTTTACTTGCGTTTTCATCAAATTTCCTGTCGGAGAAAAGTTACTGTTTCAACCTGATTGGCAGTAATAAACGTAGCTCGAAGTCTCAGATCCATCTAAATAGGAATAGAATCAAGTCGAGTCACATTTATAACTTGACTTTTCAACTTTTTCGACGCATTGTTTAAAAAAGCGTTGCAAGAATAAAACGGTGTATGAAAACAATGCTGAACTGATTTTTCCACATTCTTCACACAGAAAGAGAACAGATGGATCTTTATTTCTTGTGTCTATTTTTTCTTCTCTTTTTATGTCAAATGTCTGGCAATGTCCACACATAATATATGTTGTGTGACGAAAGATATCTGCTTATTTGACAGATGCCTACTGTGTCATTGTTCAGGCATGTAAACCTGATGTCTGTATTTCACCATTTTCTTCGATGTTTTTCTTTATCTAATAAAATGATACGACGCCGTCGAAGAACAAGGGTGCATGACAATGCATTTTGTCACGTTCTGCTTCATTTCTGTTTGGTAATGATGACATGACAATATGAGCAGCATAGAAAGCAAAACTATATAAAAAGTAATAGTACGAATAAAACATGAAGATATTATATAGTTGTACGATTTTTGAATACAGATAACAAATGTAAGTATGACTTTCAGCAAAATTGTTACATTTGAAAAGCTGGTCAGCTGCTACGAATCAAAGGTATTCAAATACCAGAGCGATTTGCAACTTCGTTTGATCGACTTTGAAATGTAAATAAAGCATATATCCGTTCCTTGCCGATCGACGTAAATTTATTTTTCTTTTATTCCTCTGATACTACAGAAATGTAGATTTTTTATGTAAGCGTGTACCAATACCAATTATTATTGAAGATATTGTATAATATTATTATATACTTAATTCGATTCTTCGCAAGACATTCTATAGAAGCTACAACTTTTCGAAGGTTTAGAACAAAAGAAATAAGTATCAAAAAGCTGAAAGACAGTGGACTTCGGATGTAATATAACCGACCATTATTATACAGTCATATTAGGACTCAACAATATCAGTGTGTAGTATCTTGTATTGGTGCTTGCCTATTTTTGTCGAGGATGTCTCGATATATGAATCAATCTGAAACTTGAGAAATATAAAATTCGTTTTACGGCGCCATCTGAAAACAACCCTCGTTTTCTCTTTCGTCGTTGATATTTAAAGTTAGTCGTGCCAGCCACTTTGTAACAGACACATACGACTTCCAGAATCAGTATCATTTATTACGCCTTTCTCAAACAATGTCGGGAAGGATCGTAATGAAATGAACACTAGATACACGTGTGGTTCGATTAGAGACAGCTGTTTCAACATATTAATTTTGAGTATATCACACACTTAGTCGTCACACTTAACACGAGCTATGGCAATCGGTACTTTGAGCTAGTTGGAATACTTGACGGCAGTCAGTTGCGAAATATCAGTTTTTCCCACATTGTCGCTTATTCTCAGATTCTGCAGTAGTTGTCTAAAATATACATCTTACCGTCGACAAGTATCACATCATCTCCGGTCCACATCCATCTTTACATACAAGTGCTTATTCTCGATTTTTTCTGTCGAATACAGATTTGACTGTACAGGTACACTTTCGTATATAAACTTTTACATCGGTTCATATTATTGTAAATTTTTAGAAAAAGCAATACACGCTAGTATTGTCTGCCTTGAGATCTTTAGTCATGAAAAGGGAATAATAGCAAAATGGTGGATTCGAAAGTAGGTGACAAAAATATGCTATATGAGTAGGAGGTAGGAAACTGATGCTACTTAAAAGAAATATGAGATTATATACATGTGACGATAATAAAATAGACTCGGTGCCCTGATCTGTAGTGTGTCACATCATTAATCTGTTTCTAACTATTGCATGTTGGAGCTTTGCTTCTATTAGTTATTCGTGTTAGTAAACTTCTGATAGAAAAATGAGCTCTTGAGGTGTGTGCGATTCGAGAGAAATGCACATTACTACTAAAATGTCCTGCGAGATTATTTTGGAAATAACTGGATCAAATCAAAAGACAACCCACCATGATTATCAATAGATTTCACGTCGAAACGAACTATTAAACGAGCTGTGTGCTGATGGACGGATGCTTAAGGTTCGCTCTAGAGAGACTTTGCAAAAAAGAATGCTGGATCGGTAAAAATGCCATTTTCAACCGCAAATCAACCAAAAGAGGAATATTTCGTTCATCTTAGTAACGGTAGTCCTGCAGCGTTTTTTTGTAGAGACTACCCATATAGTACTACAAAATGTACGGATTATTTTTCTCGTTCTCAACCAGCTTAAACAAAAGTTGATGTGGTTAGAGGCTGCAAACGTCCACAGATAATCAATGAATTCCATTTGCTTTCTGTTCTAGATTCTACGAGCTACATCAGGGATGTCCAATGCAAAGAAAATCATTCTTGTTATCGGAGGCACTGGTGCACAGGGTTCTGCAGTAATAAGGCAATTACTTGCTCCTAAGGCCAAACAAATATCGCCCTATACAATCCGACTATTGACTCGTGATCCGACTAGTCGTAAAGTCAAAGAAGAATTTGATGAACTGGATGATGTTGAGGTTGTCAAAGGCAATTTTATGGATTTTGATAGTGTACTAAAAGCTTTGCAAGGTGTTTATGGTGTGTTTGTTAATACTGATGGATTTACCGTTGGGGAACAGAGTGAAGTTTTTGCTGGCATGCGCATTTTCGAATTGGCAAAACAGATTGGCACAATTAAACACTATGTGTATTCAAATTTGGATTATGTTTTTAAGAAAAGCGGCTATAAGCCCATTTATAACTGTGAGCATTACAATGGAAAAGGCAGGGTAGCTGACTGGATGCAACAACAACCTTCGGATGAACATGGGATGGTGTGGAGTGTATTGACATCGGGACCTTATATGGAAATGCTTCATGGTGGTAATTTCATCCCACGGATCAAAGAAGATGGCACGCGAGTGTTTGCTGTTCCACTCGGCAAAGGACATATACCAATTGTTTCTGTCGATGATATCGGTTATTTTGCGCGGTACATTTTTGACAATCGATCAGCCACCAGCGCAAAAGATCTTGAGATTGCATCATAAATGCTCGGATACGACGAATTGGTTGAAACTTTTAAACGTGTTACGAACCTGCCGGCAATCTACGAGGACGTTTCGTTTGACGAATGGGTTGAACAAATTCCTTGGAGAGATGAACAATTAGCATCATCAGAACATGTCCAGGGCGGCACAATATGGCGAGATAATTTCAGATGCTGGTGGCGTATATTTCATGATGATCTTCTCACACGCGATATGGCTTGGATTGAAAAAGTTAATCCAGAACGAATTACTCTTGAAAACTGGATTCGAACAACTGGATATGATGGCACACGAAAACCACTTCTGAAAAATGTTGATGATCGAATGGCTAATAAATATTCAATTTATGCCGAAAAGGCGAATACTAATAAAGCATCAAGCTAAAAACATTAGATGATGTGGTCGATCTTATTGACTTTTTCATTTTGACAAACATTATTCATGATTAGCAGTAGCAGTTTCACCTATTATAGATACTTTTACCTTATTCGTTTGTTTCTTTTTGGTTCGTAGAACGGCGTTAAATAAAAAAAGCTTCGTTTTTTCAAAAATCATTTGTGGTTTTCACTGCCATTCTAGAATTAGTAGCGGTGTTACCTTGTAATGTCACGAAATAGGCTTTATCACTAACGAGGGAACATATGTAACTGACCAATCGTTTTTTTAATGAAATCTAGTGGAGTATAGGTAAAAAATGGTGCTGAATCCGAATATCGGCATGAGACGGCCCGCTGGACCTTGTGAGTATCGGATTTCTGGGAAACCAGGTTTCCAGAGCCAGAAACTTTTTGTTTCAAAAATTTTTTCTGATCTGTCTCGATTGTAGAGAACATTGAGAAACCTATAAAAAACTAGTTTTCAGGATTTTGGAACCCTTCCACAGCCCGTCAGACGGACTTTTCTTCTCTTTCTCCAATTTTTTTGGGACAAAACGTTTCTGGCTCTGGAAACCTAGTTTCCCAGAAATTCGGTACTCACAAGGTCTAGCGGCCCGTCTCATGCCGATATTCGGATTCAGCACCATTTTTTACCTATACTCTACTAGATTTCATTAAAAAAACGATTGGTCAGTTACATATGTTCCCTCGTAAGATAAAACTCTTATCCGCAACGCTGGTTGTAGTTGAAATGAATCAACATCCATAAAATTTAGGTTTTATAATAAAACGATAAAATTCTGAGACGAGGAGAATTCAAAAATTCAACTTCATCGACATCAAATTCAAAGTTTTTAGCGACAACGGATATCACATATTGTTCAGTTTTTGTGCTCTTCCGAGGTTTTGCTCAAAAAACATACATCAAAAGTAGACTGCGTCTAAACCACGTTTTGGTCCAATCAGTCGATTTTACTATTTTTCAAAAATCTCCGTACGCCTCTCCATAATGTACATTAGTGCAAACAATGCCGCAAAAAGACCATTGTTCATTTTCTGAGGGAGAGCGAACTGGAGAAGCAGCAAGAATAGAAGTGTGGCCATCGTGGATTGCAAATATTGTAAATGTCTCGTGCCGAACTTTCGAATAAGTTCAATATCAATGCACTATAATTACGTCTTGAAAGTACTGACTGTTTCAGTTCGGTGTTCTTGAACTTTCCAAATTGTTTATGTCAAAAAAATACGACCACTTATATGTGCACAAACAAATAGATTACTTTCTCATATAATGGTTATGACATTTTCAATTAGTTTTTCTGACGATGATTTCTCCTTCGATCCGAAAATTTCAGATACTCCAGCAGATGTGTCAACACAAGATTTCTGAGCTCTCATTCCTTTACCCGTTCCTGACATCATACGCGCCTTTGTTTCTCATAACTATTTGTAAGAGAGAAGAACTGTCGCCTTCTCACAGTTGCGACGATTTCTTTTCGTCATCAACTTATTTAGTGATTGTAATGATGTACGTATACAAGAATACTATGTGAACAAGAAATAAACTGTAATAGAAGGAAACCAAAGAGAGAGAGAATAAGTACGTCAGTAACAGATAATTAATAATTTTGTATGGATAAGCGACAAACAAGAGTGGGAAAAGTATGACTTGTCCGGCTTTTCAGGTTATATACAAATGTTTATCGTCAAAACATGAAAGACAGACAGCCATTCCATCAATTACTTTTGATTATCTGAAGCTTGCTTACCTTCTATTGTAATATAAAAGTAAGTAAAATATACCTTATATATGTACAAAGACGAATGTCCTTTCTACTTACAACGATTGTTAACTATATGTAATACTAATTAAAATGCGACTCTATTTTTCACTTCAAAATTCTTTTGACCATAAAAACGAAGAATAGCATTCGCAGAAGTCTATGTCCGATTAGTGAAGCAGCCATAATGTTACTCGTCATATTTAACGTATTGTAACCAACTATGGATACTAGTCTGGAATATTTTCCAAAAATTACCTGTCCGTCCTAACATTTCTTTCTTTAAAACAACTTTTTGCGCTTGAGCCATCCACTCGTTCGTAGTTATCCGTGAATCTAGAGATTTGGGGATATTTGACTATTGATTTGGAATAATGTAGGAAAATAAATCTGCCGATGAAATCAAAAAAATAAAGCTACTCATTGTTGAATACAGTTCTGTTAACTTTGGTTATATTTTAAAACTATATACCGCGTACAGAAGTACAGAATTAGGTTCTTTATCGTTTAAGTTGTGTCCTTTCAATTATTAATTTCTGTTTATTGTAGAACAAACTTTTAACTTTCCAGGTAAATCTAACAATGATTTTCGGTTTTTAGGCGTTTCTTTATATGTACATTCTGTATGTCGGTGTACTTTACAGAGTATTTTCTATTAGCAATTCAGTATTGTACATTGTCTGTGTTGATTATTATACTATTTATCATGAAAATCTAAAAACATGAAGCATTAACATGGATAAAGAATTTCAAACAAAATCAAATATGGCTACCACAATGGGATGAACTAATGGACAAACTTTTCAAACAAATTTTGAGAATTATAGCAACCAAGAAAAATGAGATCATTTCTTACTTTATTCACGGTATTTTGACCTTAACCGGTCATTATCAGGTAAAAAGTAAACTGTGTAAGATATAGCAATTTTTTTTATCTAAAAGACACAAGTAAACTTAAATTATAACTACTGATGCTTTTTAATGTTATTTTCGTTCGATAAGTCATCGACTGAATTTAGTAAATACAGGATAGAAAGTTGTACATAGGAGAATGGAGAATACATGAACGAATACGAAAATATTTATATAGTTTCCGAATGACTTTATTTTTTTGGGGGCCTATGGCACTGAAGGGTAAAGTTGATTTCTTTACACTATCCGAATATTCATATAGTGGGATAGATCGATCGGTACCATTTAGGATTCACCTGACCTAACAATAATTAACACAGGCCGTGTACAGCACTGACATGCTAATAGAAAATACTCTGTAAAGTACACCGATATACAGAATGTACATATAAAGAAACGCCTAAAAACCGAAAATCATTGTTAGATTTACCTGGAAAGTTAAAAGTTTGTTCTACGATAAACAGAAATTAATGTTTGGAAGGACAGCACCGTCATTTTACATGACCAAGTCAAAGAAGAGAAACGGTCAGAATGAGTTATACGAACTATTACGGTTCTATTTATGTATTCTTCCATGTGTGTATAGGCCAATTGGAGGTAAAGATCTATATTTGTTGTTATTGTGAATAAAATCTCTAACTTTCATATTATCTTCGAAAACTTTATTGCCACTCACCAAGCAGTCCCACTGCCTTTATTGACATATTCAAAGGATTTTGGTTAAGAACTTTTGGCTTACCTAATGTCGGAGCTTTTAAACTTGTTTTATCTTTAGTATAAATTATTTCATCTAGTGTCTTATAACGCCATCATTTGATCCATTCGCTACAGTTTGAAACTGTGCTTCCATCTCAAATTTAATGTCCATTTTGTCGTGACGGCAAAAATTCTACGACATGTAAGTCAGTAGAATGTTCCATTCCTTAAAAGGATCTATCGTACTTTTCACTCTGCGATAAATATTTTATGTCCACTTATACAATTATTTTCAGAAAAGCGATGCTCGGTTTAGGTAACGAGGGGAAAGTAGCGTCGCCATGAAAAAGCACTTTTACAAAAGAAATGTAGATAAATTTAGGCCGTTTAAAAGTAAGTTGTTTTCTTCCTGTAGTAGCGAGTATCAGCAGCCAAAATTGCTTGGTGAGTGGCAACAACCGCGTTGTGACACTTCCAACAGTTTTTTGTTTAGGAATATCAACAGACTCACACTTATTTTTTTCCACTCGTCAATAAAGAATGAAAGTAAGTTATTGATATTCTCGCGTAATGGATCTACGTCATGCTCAACCACCAGTTGTTGTAATTTTCAAGACAGACCTATCACTTATCCGTAAGTATAACTTTTTAATTTCAGATAATAGTCTTCATCCGCGGTAGTATAGTGGTTAGTATCCCCGCCTGTCACGCGGGAAACCGGGGTTCGATTCCCCGCCGCGGAGGATGTTTTTTTGCTTTTTCTTTCCTTCTGTGAGAAACAAATAGAGTAGAATGTAGGATATAGGTGAAAGAGAGTATTTTTTAATATCAAAAAACGTGTAAGAAATAGACTGCCATTTGAGAACCCAAGGTTGTAAGTATGCTCTAAGTGATACACGCAAAGAAATGAACCGATGGTCTTTTAACCATATTATGCAGAATGAGAAAGTATCCACCTCAAAAAATCACACCGAAAGGGAGTTATAATAAAATGTCGGTGTAGCGAGCATTCCTTCAGTTTCAACTTTTGAACGATTAGGAATAGAGACTCGCGGTTTTCGGTTTCTAAAATTAGACACTGTGCGAAATCTGACGAGAACATTTTAGATTACTTCATTTTTACAAGGTAAAAAAGTCTTTCTGCCCCGTCTCTTAGTTATATCCTCCATTTATTAAAGTGTTTGAGAGTAAGAGATCGGATCGCTTTAACAGCGGTCGTTAGAACACTAAACAA